GAGGGGAGAGAGAGAGAGAGAGAGAGAGAGAGAGAAAGAGTGAGAGAGAGAGAGAGATTGAGAGATAGCTTACTCTAGATATGCATAAAGGTAATCCATAACTGTAATATTCTCTAACGGACACGTTTTCTTTCTTTCCACAGGGAAGACCTCAAGAAAAAGTCCTCAACCTCACAACCAGACCAACCAATCCTGGTGGTGACGTCACATGAGCGAACCGGGGTCTACTTGCCAAAAATGTAAAGACTGAACTTCTCTTTTGCCATAATGTTCTTTCCAAACTGTTGCCCGTGTTATCTTACTGGAAATGTTTTTAAAATCAATAATTATGCAATGTGGTACTGAAAACTCATTCGACTTCATTTACTTTTTTACATACTTGTGTGTTATTTTTTCTCACTATTAATCAGTTAACATTCACAATCAAAATGGTACTTTTTTTTCAAAAATTGCAAATACACAACATGTCAGAAGTGCCAATAATGCTTACTTTACTTTTGCTTTTATCCGCCTCGTATACCTTTTGAGTGTTGCAGGAAGAAACGAACGTCTCTCTGCCTCCAGCCGGAGAGTTTGGGTCAGGGGGATGCAATGAGTTGTTAGGGTTTCCCTGACTCCATCTATCCAGGTCTTTCTCGGTCGCCCTCTAGTCTTGTTGCCATTGAATGTTTTGAGGTAGGCACGTTGGGCTGGATGGTATGTTGGTAATCGCCTGAGATGTCCTAACCATTGCCAATAATGCACCCAGAATAAATGGAAAAGTAAGCTTACAATTAGAAGATAATAATACGAGTAAAGCATCAGCTGTAAGCTACACACACAACTACCTTTTTTGACAATGATAAATAATAATAAAAAACGTATGTAGTGCATTTACAGAAGAAGGTGCCCAGTGCTCTTTATACTATATAATAATTATTATTATTATTATTATTATTATTATTATTATTATTATTATTATTATTATTATTATTTATTATTATTATTATTATTATTATTATTATTGTTATTATAACTATTATACTGATGATGATGATGATGATAAGGATGATGATGATGATGATGATGATGATGATGATGATGATGATTGTTATAATAATAATAATAATAATAATAATAATAATAATAATAATAATAATAATAATAATAATAATAATAATAATAATAATAATAATAATAATAATAATAATTGATAGAACACAACACAAAACCAACAGAGAGTACAGGGCAACAGCTACGTGCTGCTAAATCCAACCTTCAAAGAGAAACCAGAAAGTGTGCCAATCAGTACTGGGACAAGTTATGCTCAGAAATTCAACAGGCCAGCGATACAGGTAATATCAGGAAAATGTATGAAAACATCAGAGTTGCTATTGGACCAACAGCAAACAAAGTGGCACCTCTAAAGTCTGCGACAGGTGAACAGCTGACAGACAAGAAGAAACAAATGGAAAGATGGGTGGAACATTATTCAGACTTATACTCAGAGGAGCGACATGTTGATAGACAGCTACATGAAGCCATTCCTCAGCTATCCGAAATGTCAGAACTTGATACAACACCAACAGAAGAAGAACTCTCCTCTGCAATCGATGAACTCGCTTGCAGAAAAGCAGCAGGAAATGACAACATACCTGCTGAAGTGCTGAAAGAGAATAAAGAGACCCTCCTCCCATATCTCTACAAGCTACTAACGACTTGTTGGCTGAAAGCAGAAATTCCACATGACATGAGAGATGCCAAAATCACCACACTCTACAAAAACAAAGGGGGCAAAGGAGATTACAACAACTACAGAGGTATCTCACTGCTAAGCATCACTGGAAAAGCTTTCGCTAGGATCATCCTGAAGCGACTTCAGAAACTAGGAGAAAGAGTCCTACCAGAGAGCCAATGAGCTTTCAGATCAAACCGCTTAACAATGGACATGATCTTTTCTGTTCGTCAGCTACAAGAAAAATGCAGGGAGCAACGACTGCCATTACATACTGCGTTCGTCGATCTGACAAAGGTTTTTGATACAGTCAGTAGATCAGGAC